CCCCACAACCTCAAACCCGCCCAAAGCCCCGACATCCTCCTGCATCCCCACCATCATCTCCTCCAGCAACATCTCCTCCTCCTCGCTCTCCCCGTCCTCCCCATCCTCATCGTCCCCCAGCTCGAGAAAATGCTCCGCCGCGCCGATCCAGTCGCCCGCGCCCATCCCTATGGGCCCGCCGCCCGCGTCCATGATCCCGCCCCCGCCGCCGCCGATAATCCCGCCGCCGGCGTCGAGCAGCATCGGCAGCACCTCGCCCGCGCCATCCAACCATCCACCCGCGCCGCCCCCATGCGGCGCGCGCGCGAACGTCACGAGGTTTGTATGCGCTTTCAACGCCTCTATCTCCGCGCCCGTCAACAGCGGCGAATCGGGGATCTGCAGCCGCGGGATGTCGCGCGTGGAGAGGGCTTGCAGTAATATGTCGTACAGCGGGACGTGCTCGAAGAGCCGCACGCGCGAGATGTGGTTGTCGTCGAAGATCAAGTTACTCAGCGCGGGCAACACGGGCTGTGCGAGCGGCTCGGATAAAGCGCGCAGCAATACGTACGCGGCGGGCCCGGCGACGTACAGCCCGGCCAGCCGTGTGCACGCGCCGAACGCGGTCTTCCATAAGGGATCGAAGAGCGCGCGCGCGGACGCGTCGGGCGTGTTCGTCATGCCGAGGACCGAGGCCTGCTCGATGGACGCCACGGGGAGCGCGCGCGCGAAGAGGTCGGGGATGCAGCGTGTTAGGTGCGGCGTGCCGCTTGTTGCGTTCGCGCGGCGGCGGTGGGCGATTGTGAGGCTGAAGCTCGCGTTGGAGGGGGCCGTGAGGACGCGGTTGGTTAGGGCGCGCAGCTCGGTGTGCGCGTCGGCGAAGGTCGTGACGGTCAGCCGGCCGTCTAAGAGCGTGATGACGAGCGTGCGCGGCGCGTGCGCGTCGGACCGGCTGAAGCCCGTGCGGCCGAGGTTCGCGAACAGCGATGCGGACTTGTCGCGCACGGCGCCGGGGTCGTCGGACGTGTTGAGCGTTATTTTGACCGGGGGCGTGAGGCGGAGGGGCTGCAGGACGCAGGAGACGGCGTCGATGGGGCCGTGCAGCGTGAGCGCGCGCAGGTGGTGCAGCGAGAAGGGGGCGCCGGGGACGCCTGAGCCTTCGCGCGCCATGCTGTTCACCAGCGACAGGTTTTCCAGCAATGGCATTGACCGTAGGGCGTCGTACATCTCGGTGCGCGTGGGGAAGGTATAGCCTGCGTGCGCGGAGGCGTTCGAGATGGAGAAGGAGCGCAGGTTGGACAGGAGGGAGGGCTGCGAGGGGAACTTGTCGATCTGGTTGAGGTGCAGCGTGCGTAGTAGGGGCGCCCCGTCGGCGAAGAGGTGTTCTGGAAGTTTAATCGCTGCTCGACGCCTCAGAATCGCGCCCGCGAAGCCGCCCTTGATCGTGAACGCCTCCAGCCGCGGCGCGGCGCTCGTCAGGAGCGGCAGGAGCGCGGCGGCGTGCTGGCCCTGGAGCGCGGTCGTCGGCACGTGGATCTCGCGCGCGCGGAGGAGGTGGGCCGGCTGGAGCATCTCGCCCAGGTGCGGGTACTTGTCGTGCGGCGAGCAGTCGATCACGAGCGACGCGTCCCTGCTCCGCCTAACAAACTCGTCGATCCCCTTCGTGCCCAGGCTCAGCGGGATGCGGCCCCACAGCGGCGAGCACGCCAGCGCTTCAGATCTCCAGCGCCGACAGACGCGCGTGAGGGGCAGCCAGTCGACGTACGCGGCGGGGTTGCGGTGCGAGCCGCCCAGGTACGCGTAGGCGCGCCTGTTGTGCGGGTAGCCCGTGATGGGGTTCGACTCGGCCACGAGCATGAATATCGTGGTTAGGATCTCGGTGGGCAGGCGCATCACGGGTTGCAGGTTGTTCAGGCTCGTCTCGAAGCGCCAGAGGAAGGCGCGCATGGCCGCGGACTCGGCTGCTAGGGCCTGGCGCCGCGCTTCGAGCTCCGAGGCGGGCATGTCGTCCCGGATCGTCGCGCAGAGGGCGGCGATGCGCGGGTTGGCGGCGGCGGACCAGTATTCGTGGGCTTCGCTGTGCGTTTGTTAGTATAGGGTTATGTTAGAGATGGAGGGAAATACCTCTCGACCGAAGTCATGTTCGGCGTTTAGGATAGATCTACGGTGGCGCAAGTACAAGTAACCTCAAGTTCAGTTATGAGGCCTGCAATGCACTATATTCGGTACTCTCAGAGTAGACAGTAGACCAGTGAATATGCTGTGCAGAAGTTAGGCAAAGAGAGGCGCCCTTTGAGAGATGAGAGCAGGATGGGAGTGCCGCCGGGCGGCCACGAGCCCGAGATACACCTGGTGACGTGATGGCATCAAACTACCCGCGCCGATCCAGCCGATCCCCGATGTCATTGTTGCCGGCGGTCAGGTTCGACTTTTGACCGCGCGCGGCCACGACGTCGATCTTCTCGAGAGAAATATGATGACTCTGCTGGAAATGATATCTCTCCTTTGGGCAGTGTGCAGACGGGGTGAAATGGTAAATGTATCAGACGCGTCCGGCGCCCGTTGGATGCCCGGTCATACGCATGCCCAAGAATGAGCCGGCGCTCACTACTTATCTCATATCACTATCTATCTCTCTATCTTGCCTCTCTCCCTCACCTTCCAATGATGAGGCACCTCACCCATCTCCTCCTCCTCCTCCTAACAACAACCCTCCTCCCAGCCGCCGCCTCCATCTGGCCCCAGCCCCAACACATCCAAACCGGCTCCTCGCCCCTCAAGCTAGCCCAAGACTTCACCATCTCCCTCCTCGTGCCCACCGTCCCAGCTCCGGCAGACCTACACGCCGCGATATCCCGCACACACCAGTACCTCCAAAGCGACAATCTACGCCGACTCGTGCCCGATCGCGGAGCATCAGACAGTGCACTCATCGTCGACGCGCCCTCGCTAAAATCTCTCGTGCTTGAGCTTTCAAGTGTCAGTGGGGAGGACGGGCCGGTGCTAAGTATTGCCGAGGAAGCGAGAAAGAAGCTGGAAGATCGCGACGAGGCGTATACGCTCGTCGTGCCCGCCGACGGCACTGAAGCAAGGGCGCGCGCGGGGTCGGCGCTGGGGCTGTTGAGGGCGCTGAGTACGTTCGAGCAGATGTGGTGGGCGGCGGCGGGTGGGGAGAGGTATACGGTCGAGGCGCCGTATGATGTTGTTGATGAGCCTGCTTATGTGCGTGTGCGGTTTGTACATAGGATGGGGAGGGGTGGTGCTGATTGAAGAGTAGCCGTATCGCGGGTTTATGCTGGACACGTCGCGCAACTTGTGCGTATTCCACGCCACATGCCTGTGCGCACAATGGCTGACATGTGCATAGCTTCCCCGTTGAAGACATCAAGCGCCAGATGGACGCCATGTACATGACCAAAGTACACCTTCCTCCCACCCCCCTCAGATGTTAAACACACACTGACTCGCGCGCCACAGCTTAACATGTTCCACTGGCACGTCGTCGACTCCCAATCCTTCCCGCTCCAGATCCCCGGCTTCGAGCAGCTCGCCGAGAAGGGCGCGTACGACGCCGAGTCGGTCTACACGCCCGAGGACGTGCGGTCTATCGTCGACTACGCCGGCGAGGTACGCCTTCATCCCCCCCCCTCCTCCTCACTATTCAGAACGAGTCTCTGACGTGAAATTGGGTATGGTGCAGCGCGGCATCGACGTGCTAGTCGAAATCGACGTCCCAGGCCACACAGCCGTCATCGCACACGCGCACCCGGAGCACATCGCCTGCTTCAACGCTCAGCCCTGGGAGCCCTACGCAGCCGAGCCGCCCTCGGGCCAGCTGCGCCTCGCATCGCCCCACACACTCTCATTCACCTCTGACTTATTGAAAGCCGTAGCAAAGATGTTTCCGGGCGCGTATTTTAGCACGGGCGGCGACGAGGTGAATATGCGGTGTTATGCCGAGGACGAGGAGACGAAGAGGGGGTTGGAGGAGGGGAGGGAGGGGGTGATGGGGGCGCTGGGGAGGTTTACGGAGGGCGTGCATGGGGCGCTGGGCGAGGTGGGCAAGACGGCTGTTGTCTGGCAAGGTACCTCCTCAACCCCTCCCCTCCCAATTCCAATTCCAAACAAAACAAACCTGCTAACACTGAGTCGATGTCCGCTAGAAATGGTCCTAAACTACGCCGCCCCCCTCGCCCCCTCGACCCTCATAATGGTCTGGATATCCTCATCCCACGCCTCTCGCATCGCCTCGCGCAACCACCGCATAATCCACGCGCCCTCGGACTACTTCTACCTCGACTGCGGCTCCGGCTCCTGGCTCTCGAACGACCCCTCGGGCCGATCGTGGTGCGACCCGTACAAGACCTGGCAAAAAGCCTACACCTTCGACCCGCTCGCCTCCATCCCACAGAATAAACGCCACCTCGTTATGGGCGGGCAGAGTCTGCTGTGGAGTGAGCAGGCGGACGGAAAGAGTGTGGATGCGGTGGTGTGGCCGAGGGCGGCGGCTGCTGCGGAGGTGTTCTGGACGGGAAGTGGGAGGGGAGGGGTGAGGGGCGCGATGGGGAGGGTAAATGAGGTTGTGTTTAGGTTGAGAGGGCGCGGGGTGGGGGCGAGTGCGGTGCAGCCGTTTTGGTGCGTTGTGAATGCGGGGGAGTGTGAGCGGAATTGGGAGGCGGCGAGGTATGTTTGAATCTTCAGCTTGAGTACTTACCTAGGTGCTGATGGGGGGATGTGTAGGATGTATGCGGTGTATAGTAAGGTGAGAGGGTGGGGGGAGGAGGCGTGGAGGGTGGTGATGGGGGTTAGGCAGCAGCTGGGTTGGTTCTGAGGTTGCGGCTCGACGGCATTCGTTCTGTGTGTACAGTACAAAAAACTGCAGAACGCGCGCCCAATGCTGCGATGTACGCACATGAACCTCCTACCTCTCAAAGCGCCGATCGCGCCACTCGCGACAGTCATCGGCCTACAGGATAACCATCGGACCTCTCGCGCCGCAATGCACAAGTGTACGCGCGCTCTATCCGCGTGTGGCGCGTGCAGCAGACCTATCTGACTCGCGACGCGTATGGCCACAAGCACGCGTGGCGCGTATCTGAGCGCGCGTGTCTATTCCTGACGGGAGTGCCATGCGGTGCGGGCTCACTTGACTGTGCGCCATACCGTGTGTGTATGTGCAGTCTACTGTAACTTGACCATGCCTTGCTGAGCTTCAAGAGTTTCTCTACGGTCAGTCGGGCATCGGCGTGCTGATCCGCACTGGCAGGCTTCTCCCGCTGCCGAGGATGGCTTCTGGTCGAGGATGTACTAGCCCCTGTGCCTGTGAATCTGTAGGCGCTTGCACTTGGGCAGCGTTTATCACTGTGTACTTACCACTTATACAGACTTATACAGATGTTACTGGATCCAATCCCCGTCCACTGGAGCCGTGGCATATACGCGTCCGGCACAGTCCCCGCAACTCGCCCTAACAACACTGACCTGCGCCTTCGCCGGAGGTACGCATCAAGTCCGCGCAAGTTTGTATACGCACTAGACTTCATTTACGACTGCGCGGCTCGAGTGCCTTGAGTGCCTCGCCTTGCGCATTGGGCGTAGCCAAACCGTGATGGGCGTCGCTGGGCCACGCAACAACAGGACATCGACCTTGTGAAGGGTAGGTACATGCAGATACGAGTGTTCCTCTGTGTTCCTTCCCCTTGCGAATAGGCATACAACACACTGCGTTGGTCTGGGCTGGCCTAACATCCGACATCAGGATGAGATCATAGAGTGACCGGCAATCCGCCCGTGAAACTATACGCGTATGAATATGGTTCGGGAGGACGACCGTCGCGAACAAGGATGGGCATCAAGTAGACATCAAGTAGATTCATGAGTCTGGGACGATCGTAGCAGGAAGAAAGATGCGAGCGTGATGTTGCAGACGCCTTTGCGTCCGACGCGCCAGTCCGAGACACCTTCCCTCCTCACTCTAAGCTCTAAGCTCTAAGTACTGTACCCGCACCGCACATACGAGAGCTGTATTTGGAAAGCACGATAAGGACAGGGCGGACGGCAGTGTGGGCGCCGCAATATCCCTTGCCGCGACCCGCAATTGATGCACGATGAAGTTGATGTTCGAACACCCACCACATGGTCACCGAGCGCGCGCTGGGCCGGGTCCATCATCTCGTCACTCGTGCTCCGTAGCTATATAATGAGACAGGGATGCCGATCATGCGAGCAGTAGCCCGTACTCTCCTTCAGCGGCCCACTCTCTTTTGCCGGTGCGTCACGCCACTACAAGTCCCCGAGGGCGCCCCGAGGCTAACTGTCTATGTTGTGCAGGTCATGGCCAACTTCGCTGCTCTCCTCGCTGTCGTGACGATCGCGGTCGCACCCGCGTGGGCTATCTGGCCTCTCCCGCAGAGCTTCACGACGGGCACCAGCGCGCTCACCCTCTCCCCCTCCTTCGCCATCGACACCTCGGCCATCTCCGACGCGCCCGCCGACCTAACAGCCGCAGCGAACCGCACGCTCTCCTACCTCCAAACCGACAAGCTCGGCCGCCTCATCGTCGGCCGCGGCTCGACCGACGCCGCGGCCGTCGCGGGCGCGCAGAGCATCAGCGCGCTCAAGCTCGAGCTCGGCGCCGGCGCGAACGTGTCGGCTATCGCGGACGAGGCGCAGAAGCCGCTGGAGGAGCGCGACGAGGCGTATACGCTTTCTATACCTGCTGATGGCTCGGACGCTGTTATTACGGCCAACTCGACACTCGGGCTGTTCCGCGGGTTGACGAGCTTCGAGCAGCTGTTCTATTACTATAATGGGACGACGTATACTGTGGAGGCGCCTATTGATATCGAGGATAAGCCGGCATACGTGCGTGTTCCTTATCTTGCTATTCTGTTCAGTGTCGAGAATAGGCGACTGATTGGCTTTGTTCGGCGTGTGCAGCCCTACCGCGGTCTCATGCTTGACACTTCCCGCAACTAGTGCGTCGGTTTCTCCATTCGTGACTGTGCGGGCGCTTCTAGATGCTGACTTTGCCGCCCGACAGCTTCCCCGTGTCTGACATCAAGCGCACGATCGACGCCATGTCCTGGGTCAAGAAAAACGTCTTCCACTGGCACATCGTCGACTCCCAGAGCTTCCCTTTGCAGATCCCCGGCTACGAAGACATCACCGCCAAAGGCGCATACGACGCGGAGTCGATCTACACGCCCGAGGACGTCGCGGACGTCATCGGCTACGCCGGCGCGCGCGGCATCGACGTCATGCTCGAGATCGACACGCCCGGGCACACCGCGATCATCGCGGAGGCGTTCCCGGAGCACGTCGCGTGCCCCGGCGCGACGCCCTGGGCGACGTACGCGAACGAGCCGCCCGCGGGCCAGCTGCGCTTTATGTCGCCCGAGACGGCGAACTTCACCGCGGGCCTGCTCACGGCTGCGGCCGGCATGACGAAGTCGGCGTACTTCAGCACCGGCGGCGACGAGCTCAACACGGCGTGCTACGAGGCGGACGACGCGTCCATGTCGATCCTCAACTCGACGGGCCAGACGCTGTACGACGCGCTGAGCAACTTCACCGCGACGACGCACTCCGCGCTTATTGATACGGGGAAGACGCCGGTCGTGTGGGAGGAGATGGTGTTGCAGTATAATGTGACGACGCTCAGCAACGATACGCTCGTGCTCGTGTGGATCTCGTCGGATAATGTCGTCAGTGTGGCGCAGAAGGGGTATAAGCTTATCCATGCGGCGTCGGATTACTTCTACCTCGACTGTGGACAGGGTGGATGGGTCGGCACGAACCCGCAGGGGAACTCCTGGTGCGACCCGTTCAAGACGTGGCAGAAGGTACGCGCTTCTCCCTTCCACCCTCCTCGTTCAATCTTACTCATTGTCGCCTCTAGTCCTACGTCTTCGACCCCGTTGCGAACCTCACAGACGCGCAAAAGGATCTCGTCCTCGGCGGCCAGCACCTCCTCTGGGTCGAGCAATCCGGCCCAGAGAACTTGGACCCGACGACCTGGCCGCGCGCCGCGTCGTCCGCCGAGCTCTTCTGGAGCGGTGCGGGCGGGAACGTTACCACTGCGCTCCCGCGTTTGCACGATTTGTCGTACCGCATGCGCAAGCGCGGTGTGCAGAGCATCAGTCTCCAGCCGGAGTGGTGCGCTCTGCGCGGGACGGCGTGTGATTTGACTGCTTGAGTGAAGGGTGTAGGTGTGAGAGGGCTACTGGATGGATTGTGCTGGAGCATTGCTTTCGGACTGAGCTGCTTGTATTGTGCTACGCTCGTTTATACATTACTATCCTGTTTATCTATGCTGTCTGTCTGGTGCCGGACTCCGCACAAACTGTATATGACCGCATCATACCGACTCTAATACGAACTGACAGAAGCGACGAACAGCCCGCATTTGCGCAGCATATTGGGTCGGAGTTTGGGTCTCGGCCCGAGGGCAGCCTGCGGTTCTTCATGAGAGCGCGAGTTGTCCCTGCTCGATCACCGTCGGGATGGGTATGGCTCTGCTATCTACAGCTCTTGGAAGACGTCCAAATCTCAATGAGCGATCTTTACGAGCGCATATACGGTACTAACAGCCGAAGCCAGCTTGATGCCTAGCCATCCTCGCGACGCGCGGAGATCTAGCGCCAGCGTGCACCGCCGTTTGCACCATTGGGCTGGGCGTATTCGGCTCTCGTATAGTCCAGAAGACGAAGATCTGGCTGTGTTATGACGGATGTGTACTCTTAGCCCTTCATATCCGTTCTTCGCAGCTTCTGGCGCTTCCTTTGCCATTGCCCGCCCTCCACAATGCAGCTCACGTTTTTTTCCCGTCTGTGGTCGATGGTTGATGTAGTGCATACTACACATATATCGACCTCGCTGGGCACTTGCACACACTCAGGTGTATGGCGTCTGTTTAAGATGGACAGCGCTGTAACTGCTGAAAGCGGACGAGCTACCGGACTTCGCGACTTCGCGCCGCGGAAGTGAAGCGATGTCTCCGCGCCTTCGATAGGCGATCATCTAGTCTCATGAGATTGGCTTCTACTCCTGAGTATGCGATGCGGTCGGTGCATACAAAATGCTGGTATGGCTGAACCGCGAAAGGTACAATTCGGTTTACCGACCTATACGCATGAGCCATTGCGCGAGCTGGTGTAATCGGGATCCGCCGCGTCGCAATCCCCTTTGATCTGCTTCAAACAGGCTGGGATCTGCGTGAAGACGCACATCGAGTCACGAAGACCTGTCTCATTGCATATCTGTACGCCCGCGTACAAAGAGTCTTGTGCATGCATAGAAGCACGGCGAACTGTCTGCCCCAATCGCAGGCCATCTGATAATCTTCAAAGCTGTGACGTCCGTGGTCTACGGAGACGTGGAATTGGTACGTGAGGACCCACGCGGATGGCTCACTGTGAGCAGATACGCACTGTCGCTTGCTTCTGAGATGTGCTCGGTGCAAAAGCGGTACTGGGTCTGCCATGCGAGTTATAAGCGGACTCAGATGGGGCCTTGGCGTCTCTCCCCTTCCGTCCTCTGATCCCTCGCGCTCCTGGTCGATTCCCTCTTTCAACATGCCGTCCGATGCTACGCCTGTTCCACTATGTATGGTGCACGTAACGTGTGGCTCGAAGGAGCGCCTCATCAATCGGTCTCGGCTACTGCACTACAAGGTTAGCAATGGCAACGGCCAGTGATAGGCCAGGACTGACATTGTATGGCAGTCCGCTATCCGCACAGTACGCGCCGAGTTCAAGATAGGAAAGAAAGTATTGGACAAGGCCATCACGCTCGGTGTGAAGTGCGAGGTCGACAAGGGCTCGCGCTTTATCGTCGTGAGCGGGGCGTCGGAATGGTCTGGGATCGCTCGCGATATGAAGCACGTTCTCGTCAATGTTGAAACGTCAAACAAAGGTATGTCGTACCGTCGGACGTTAGCTGCAGGATCTGAACTCAGCAATGGTCATCGCTAGGAGCACATAAGGTGAAACGGGAGATGAAGATCAAGGAACTCAAGGAGGAGGGTGAGAACGACGTCGTTCATGAGTGCGAGCGCGTATACTCATAATGTCCTGGCGACTTCTTATACCTGATAGTTGACCCGATCTCCAACCGGACCATTATCGTAGTCAGCGACTCCGATACCGACAGCGAACCCGGCAATGTGTCCGACGACCGCTCGGATGTCGCCGAAGGAGACGCGATGGACGTCGATGACGACGACGACGACGACGGTACCGAAACACTCGTGGACGACATGGTCACACGAGCTCAGCATAAGCAGGTCGCCCGCGATTGGCTCACTGCACATCCTGACGCGCCCTGGATCGTCCCGCCTGCGAACCTGGTGGAGGCCTTGCGCGCACACATCAATAAGCTCGCAAGAGTATCGGCGCGAGGCGAGAAGCCTCGGCTTCCTCTTCCAGCGATTGTGCTCGAACGACTGGCTCCCAGTGGCAAGAAGTGGCTCGAGACGCAACTCGCTCATACGAAGATCTCCAGCGACCGCAAAATACTCGGAGCAGGTAGCAAGTTCTACGACGTCCTCGTTCAGGCTCATCGTGGCTCCGGAAATGGACATACGAATGCCAGCACCATGAGCAAGAACCTTGGGGAGAAGTACGTGCTTTCGCCACGGAAGAGCTTCTACGAAATGTGGGTTGCGCGTTGCCCAGAATGTGCTCAGGAGTGACTCAGAGTAGGAGAACACCGATAGCGGGTGCTCTCGAAAGGATCGACGTATCGATTGTATCGAGTCGTACGAGTTTGAGCTTGAATCGTGGAATGGTCGATACGATATTGATTGAGAGAGTGATCTATGCCCGGTGTACATGTACATGACGGTCGGAGCCAAGTTCAGTAGGCCGATCCGAACTTCCGGTCCGCGAGCCACAACCCCGCGTGCGTGTTGAGCCGCTCGTCGCAGGGTTCACTCCGGCCACCATGATCACCCATCCCTTGCACTCGCTAGTCCGCAATCTCTGAATTCAGTTACATGTGCCTTTGTGACAGACGAGGGTCAACTCAAATAGGACGTCACTCAGACAAGCTTCACTACCTGCTCACGGAGTCCAACTGAAGGTCTCTTGGCGACGACGGCGTCAGGCAGTACCTTCGAGTAGTTCACTCCACGGGAACCTGTACGGCCAATTTTTCAGCATATGCAGACTGCTGCAGACTAAAGGGAGGCTCGTGATGGTATGCAAATTACTCTTTCCCTATTGGTACGCGAACCTCACGAAGACCAACAGGTGCAGCGTGTTCATCATGGTCTACGATCCTATAATGAGGCAGCGACCGCTATGCATACTGCTTGCGAACAGCGTTAGCTATTTCCCGTACCCCTCATTTAAAACATCCGGTCTCTACTGCGTTCCACAAACGACACGCTCCGAGTCGTATGGGAAGTCTATGTGGTGGAGGTCTCGCGGAAAGCTTAGAATTCAAGATGTACTCGTATCATTAATGGTCAAGGCGATGCACGGGGAACAATACACAACCATCTGCGCGTATCTAGCTCGCCTGCGATGGGCAACCGGGACACATGCGTACCCACGCTTCGTAGAACTGCTCGTCAACATCAACACCGGACGAGACGATCAGCGCGTCATGCATAACACCAGGCATGACGTGCGCACGCCCGTTGTCGCCCAGATGCGTACGAACGAGTAAACTGTAGAAGGCGACGCTGTCCGGGGCGCGCGCGGCACCTACACGGCTGGCGTAGTCGCGGATTAGGTCGAGATGCTGCGCGAGTGAGGGCGTGAGATCGCCGTAGATGATGTCCGCGAGGCTATCGCCATCATGCGCGACGGAGGTGCGCGAGTCGGCTTCGGTACTTGATGTGTCACAAGCTGACGACTCGTCACCCGCCTCAGGTGCAGAGAAGATAGCGAATGATATAGCCTCATCGGCACTCTCCGCGGCGTGTTCTGCAGGTACAGCTTGACCGTGATCATTTGCTGGTTCCAACGGCCTGAAGTTGTCGCCCGAGACTACTTGCCCTGCGAGATCGTGTGGGAGCATGCCGTCCTCGAGAAGCCCGGAGCCATTGTACGCGGGTTCGGGATCTGCCAACAGACCCAGCAGCATCAGCACAGGCTATAAGATGAAGGCGTCCATTACAATACTGACCCCCCTGAGCTGGAATGAGATTCGTGATGTTCTCTTCGGACTGCTCTTTCTTGATTAGAATCGATGTAGCTGTTACCCACGTATGAGAATAGACTATTATGATATGATGGACCTAGTAAGGAAGAAGGGCTCACGAGCAGGGCAGCTGGAACCCCGAAAGTCGAAATCAAGGTGAAGAACACCCCAACCGGAGAAGTCCTGCCGCGTGCCATTCGTCGGGAAAAGCCAGCCAGGCTTGTGAGACATGTACATGCATGTAAAGGATCCCAACGACCCCAATTTTCGGGGGACCTTTAACTACCTTACACCCGCAAGGTCAACGTGGACATTCACTTGAAGGTCTCGCTAACCTTTAAAGCTCCTTCAAGGTCCCGTGAACCTTGCAATACCCTCAGCACCTTCAAATACTAGAAGCAGTTTCAAATGCAAATCATCAAAGCCTGCCTACGACAACCGAAATACGTATATATATTATTTTCCTAATTAGACAAAAATTCACTGCGACCATGATTGCAAAGAATATATTCATGAGGGGTACAGTGAGATACAGGTAGACGAGCTCCAAGTAAGACACCTAGTAGACGAGGACCTTCCAACCATACAAGCACCCTACGAGCATGAACGCCGTGCCGCACATCGCTTCGTCTCGTCCCGCGCGCATAAGCTCGGATTGCCTGAAAAACCGCGAGCTCGATCTATGGCTTGTTCGAGATAGCAACATACCTTGAGACTTGACGAGTAGGTTCTCTCAAAGAGAATAAACGGTAGTGCCTATCGGGTGGTGTCAGTGAGGAGCGGTGAGGGGACGAGC